TCTGTTTGCATCAAAAACACAGAAGTGTGTAATAAACACATAAATCATTTAAGCATTTTTTCAGCAAGATGCCTGATCCTAAAAACAGGGGCATTCATATTAATTTCCCCCCTTTCAACTTCCTTTCTGTATAGTACCTTAGAGGTCTGGGTGGTAATGGAGAACCATCAATTATGGAAATGTAGGAAGATGTAAAGAAAAGAATTTCTACTGAAGTTTCCCTTCACAACCTCCTCCCGTCCCCTACATGCCTAAACTTCTATGAGCTTGGCTTTCACTGAGGCCCTCTCTGCAGTTATGGCCTCAGTTTACACTGAGGTCTACTTTTAAAAACAGTCATATTTTTGTAGCCATGGAACCCATATATCAGCCAACACCCCCTAAAAAGTTGACAGCACTAACTCTGAAAAATATGTCTTTGTTGCTCCCCTTGAGGAGGAGTTTTCCATTTTTTGTTATGGGCAATGAATATCAGACTATCACATAAAGAAGCATGATCCCCTTTTTGCTTAGACTACTGGGAAGCTCAGAGTCAAATTAATATCTTAATTTTAACAGAATGTAGTGATGTTGAATCTTATCTTTGTCATATAGTCTATTACATTTTTTTTCTATGATTTTTATTTCAATTTTCTTCTATTTTACTATGCATTTTTCTTGTGAACTACTCCATTATCTTTGTGAGATGAGAAAAAGTACATGTAAATATATAGATGGATAATTGTGATATTGTGATTTATAATAAGAAATATATATTTTGTTTTGGCCCTATTTCTGGCACAGAGCTCTTAAATCCCTGGGAAGTTCCTAAGTGATAAGAGCAATAAAGGTGCCTTTGTTATGTTAATGAGGTGAGTTTTAGACCCCCTCCTCCCCCTAAGGTTGGGGGCTGGTTGCCTGTGGAGCCACCTATGTGATTAGAAGGTTGGAACTTTCAGTCCAACTGACAGTTGGCAAGGGGGGGAGGGCCTGGAGATGGAGTTCACCAAAGGTCAATGATTTAATCAATCTTGTCTATGTAATGAAGCCTCCATGAAAACCCCAGAAGATGGATTTGGAGAGCTTCCGGGTTGGTGAACATGCAGAGGAGATTCAGGAAGCTCCTTGCCCCTCCCCCACGCCTCGCGCTCTGTGCATCTCTTCCATCTGGCTGTCCCTGAGTTATATCCTTTTATAATAAACTGGTAATCTTGTAAGTTAACTGTTTCTCTGAGTTCTGCCAGCTGCTCTAGCAAATTAATTGAACCCAAGGAAGGGGTTGTGGGAACCTCCAATCTAAAGCCAGTCGGTCAGAAGCTTGGGTGACAATCTGGGATTGAGACTGACATCTGATGGAGAGGAGGTGGGGGCAGTCTTGTACGATTGAGCCCTTTACCTGTGGAATCGGCGGTTATCTCCAGGTAGGTAATGTCGGAATTGAGTTGACGTGTAGGGCACCAAGCTTGTGTCGAGGATTGCTTGGTGGTGTGGGGGGAGCCCCCCCACCCCCACCCCAAACACACATTGAAATTGGGATTGGAACTATCTTAATAGTTTAATAGACATATCAATAGGTAGAATAATAGCCAAAGAAGCTTCTGCAATCAAAGTAAAAGTGGATATCTACAGCGAACTGTACAAAAAAGAGAGGAATTGTGAAGTCCATTTCCTGTCTGGTTACCTCCCAGAATGCATTTCTCAGTGAACACTGAGGAGGGTTCTATTGTGACCTGGGACATTTGTACATCAAAATATCATGGCCTGGCCTGGTATCTCTGTGCTTCAGGTCCCTCTCTGTCAAAAGGCATGAAAATACTTTCTCTACATAATTCACCTGGTCTTTCTAAGGAGTGAAATACATCATTTAATGGAGAAGAACGCTCAACCGAGTGCTGTGTACATTAAAGTCATTGCCACTTTCAAGGACTAACGAGGCACTGATATGGGAGCTCGCCTGCTTTCGGGAGGTTAGCAACGGGATAGAAGGAGGATAGGGGTCTGCGAGGCTAGGCAGGATGGAGAGGAGAGATGTACTAGGGAACACGATTGTTTCCAGCTGGCAGCATCCTTCTTGCCTCCACTCATGCGACTGAGTTGAATAGTCTGTCCGTCATAGGAGTACTGCTCACTTCACATTCTAAAGAGAAAATCATGACTCCGATGGGGTAGGTGCCTCGCTGAAGGCCGCCCAGCCGGGCGTGGCAGAGCTTGGGTTTTGGCTGCTCTCATTATCCTACCCCCACGTTTCTTTTCTTTTTGTTTTTTTTTTTTAGCTGAGCCATCCTGTCACCTGTTGGCAGCTCAGCGGCAGCTCAGCTCGGGCTGGGAATCAAGCCGCTGTTGCTCAGAGCGCAAACTCTTGAGCGAGCTCTTAACCAACTGAGCCACTCGGCCAGCCCTCCCCCATGTTTCTTGTTGTGGATGTCTTGTCTTTGCTTTTCAAGGCCCACTCTCTACCTTCTCCACCCCACGCTCCAATCTGGGGGACCAACTAGCATGGACCACGTATGGGCTGTCCCATCCTCTGGTTTCTGGATGGATTCAGCCATTGGCAAGTCCCAGGAGGAGGTCAGAGGGAGGTTGGAGAGGGAGGTAGGCTTCTCCCTTGTGAGGTCCACTCGGGCTGGTGGTGGCCCTCAACCAGTGGTCACTGCTTCTCTGAAGGTGGTGGGCGTCTTCTGGCTTTCAGCAACTGTCCCCTCATCCCTTTATGCCGGGGTGGTCATAGAACCACTGCTTTTATCTCCAGTTCTGACCATCCTGTTCTTCTACTTGCCACGTTCTTCAGTCAATAGCTCCTTTGTGAATAAACTTCCTTAAATTACCTTAATTTAAGTGTGACATCTGTTCCTGTTAGGACCCTAACCGTTTCACTTTCCCATTAAAGAAAATGCAGTGCTAGTAATATGTTATAGAATATAGCATTAGAAACATAAAAGGTGATTTCGATATATTTAAATTATTGGGGCATGTAAATCACAGGATTGTCACTTTTCCAAACTCACATTGAAAGAGAAGATGGGAGCACAGGGGAAAACACTGAGAGAAGCTATAATGGATACGATCTAATTAAATTTCTTTGGCTGTTCTCTGTTTGTGCTTCTAGCACCACTAAAATTGATTATTTCCCTTCTGCCTTCTACCTGTATCTTCATCTCCAAATTGAGTTGCTTTGCCTAAAGCTTTAAAATCTGTTTTCATATTAATTAATCAACATGTTAAAATTAGATTTCTATCTTTGTGTGATTTCACTGGGGGTATGCGTAGAGAAATAACTTAGTTATATATTTAATGCAATCCATATGTTTTAAAACAATTTGTTTCCGAAATTGCACAACACAGAGTGAGTTTTCACAATTAATTTCTTCATCAATAAGGTAAGGTGGTAAAAAGGCATACGATGTGTGAGAGTCTTTCTAAAATTAGTTATTTTGCAAAGGATAATTCAGTAGATCACTTTAAGAAAATCCGTGCCCATAAACAAAAATGCAAGAAGATTTTGGAAGCAAATAATTGTATGTCAAACTTTGTGACTTTTCTTTACCTTTAGCATGTTGGCTTCTGATGTCCTTAGAAATGCATTTGTCCACCTGTAGAAGATAATGGGGCATTATTATGTCTTAAACTGCGACTTACAATATGACACCAACCTAATGTCCTACTACTCTGTGTGGATAGAGTCCCAAGGATAAAGGCATAAGTCCCTGGATTCATCATTCTTAGAAATCACCATATTGTTTGGCAGTCAGTCAGTCTGTAAATATGTGTGCCGCTGTGCCAGTGACAACTGTGGTGGCCTTGGGTGTATTGGGCAGAAAAAAGACGGGTTTGAGATTCCATCCTGTCTCTTACTGCTGTGTAACTTTGCAAAGGCAGTTAGCATATTATGAGCCATAGATTTTTCGTCTTTACAATGTGTAAAATACCTACTGAGTTCACGTCACTGAGTTATTATGAAGCTCAATAGCCATGATCCAGAACACTGAAAGCCGTGGAGCCGGCAGGTCAGAGCGTGGCCTCGCTTGGTTGCCTGGGTCCGGGATTTCACCTCCAGCACGTGCTGGCTGTGAGATGCTGCAAGTCCCCTGGCCTTTGGAGCCTCCCTTTTCTTCCTGTGAAGCGGAGGTGACAAAAGTCCTGATACCTCACGGGGGAGGAAGGGTTACATGCAACACCACGCAATGTGCCTAGAAGAGCGAGTGGGGTGGCACCGCTTCAGCTAAGTAATGGTTAGCTGTCATTAGTAATGTTATCAAAGAGCCTGGTGAACTACTAAGGGCATACAATTGCCAGACACGAGGGGGAGGAAGATGAAGAACACGCCACAATGGTGCCCAGTGCCCTTTCAAGTCCTGGTCAATATATTGGGGTCTATGATGGTTACTTTTATGTGTCAACTTGACAGGGCCACAGGGTGCCCAAGAGTTGATTAAACATTAATTCTGGGTGTGTCTGGGAGGGTGCTTCCTGATAAGATTAGCATTTGAGTCAGAAGACAGAGGACAGCAGGTTGCTCTCCCCAGTGTGTGTGTGTGGTCTTCATCCAATCCTCTGAGGGGCAGAAAGAACAAGGCCGAGGAAAGGAGTTCATCTCTGTCTGACGGAGCTGGGATTTGGTCTTCTGCCCTCCACTGAGATTTACACCATCGGCTCTCTTGGTTCTCAACTTTCAGATGGCAGACTATGGAGCTTAGCTTCTATAATCACTATTTCATTTATATGTATGTGTACATATCTATAGGTCTAATCCATCTCCTGTGTTACCAGAGATCCTGATTAGAACAGGGACTTAGTGTTACTCTTTATTGGCGCCAAGTTGAAGTGGCCAAAGGGGATGGGGAGGAGGGGGTCATTGAACCCCGTTACCTCTTATCTTCTGAAGTTCAATGTCACCTCTTCTCCTCTGCGGAACATTGAACCACAGTATTGATGCCTGGAAAGAGTGTGACTCTTCTGCTGGTCCGTCTAGCCAGGGGTTGAGCATGGTTTTGATTTTGTCACTACTATGGCTTCTTGCATTGCACCGTCAGCTTCTAGTTCCTCTAGGGTTACCCTGTGGAGTCTGGGTTTGCCGGGGAGTTTTTTCAGTGTCCTTGTTGCACCCCCAGCTTTCAGCCTTCCCTGGGCGCCTGCCCCACAGAGGGGGTCTCTCTCAGTGCTGTTGCCCCCCACCTCCCGTTGCTAGCCTGGTCCCGGGAGCAGAGGGCTCTCTCGTCTCTGCCTTTGGCGGGTCTTTCGCGTGAGGCAGTTTCTTTGCCTTTCCCCTAGCAGTAGGTGCCCTCAGATGGTGTGAGTATAGGATCCTGGGCCCATGGGTATTTCCTGCTCCTTCCCTGGGCTACTCCCATCTTCTATCCAATAAATCTGTATTAGTGTCGACTGTATACCTGTAACGATGCTGGATTACGAGGGAACACAGAGGGATAAGAGCTTGGAGGACTCAGACATGCACAGAGGTCTGAGTTTACAGCATATTATAGCACATTATGACACAGGCTTAATTATAACACAGGTTTCTCAACCTTGGCACTATTGAGAGTTGGGGCTGCATAATTCTTTGTGGGGGGCTGGGGGAGGGGTGCTGCCTGTGAACTGCAGTGTGCGGGGTGGCATCCTTGTCCCCCAAGCACTAGGTGTCAGTAGCACTCCCCCAGTCTTGACAACCAAAAATGTCTCCAGACATTGCCAAATGTCCCCTACAGCAAAGTCCTCCCATCACCTCTGTCTGAGCACTTCCGGTTACCTTGACACTGCCAGGCTGGGCCTCGTCCATTAGACTGTGGGCACCGGCTCCCCTTTCTAGCCATTTCTTTCTATCCATTGCTGAGCACAGTGCTTGGTATACAGTAAGTGCTCAATACATGGAGAGATGGGCAGTGGTTTAAGACAGCGGGAACGAACTAAGGAGTTTAGATAAAAACTGGCCTCTGTAAGGATTACTGAAGATCTGTTTCACAGATAGCTTCATCTCAACATAAATGCACAGAGCTAATAAGAATTTACTCCTGAGAATAAGGTTAGAGTGAAAAATATAATCTGCTTACCATAAAAACTTGATTATTCAAACATTGATTATGAAAGTAAGACTCCCTCTTTATCTGAATTGAGGCCAAGGCCTTATTTAATTTATAAGACAATTTCCCTCCTGGCCAAAATTGTGCTCTTGCGTCTCATATTCTTTTTCTCACATGATTTCACTTGACTGAATATGTTAAGATTACAGCTCCACTGGCAAAGTGCTCTAGCTAAAGGAAGAAATTTTTTTTTTTTTTTGGTAACAAAAGCTACAAAGATAATATGAACGAATATAAAATAATAAGAATGGAGGCTTACATTCTGGCATAGTTATTTTAAAAACTCAAATGAGAATTATCTTCATAGGACTTACACGNATGTCATACTGTCATATGGCTTTGATGATAATTCAGATAAAATCCAACCAGATTTATTTGTGGGGAGGGCTTGTTTAATAAAATAATAACCCCTCAGGTATTTGGGATCATGGAAGAGGATAAGATTGGAGCTGAGTTTCTTGAGTTTGAATCTTGGTTCTGCTACTTACGATGGACAGGATCAAAGCAGGCGCTCAATAAATACTTAAAAATAAACAAATGAATTGAGGAATGACTGAGTTTTCTCTTCTGGAAAAATGAGGAATGGTTACTCACACTTCATGGGAATGCATGTGTGGAAGAAATGATTTCATGTCACGGCTTTTATTGCGTACCCACAGTTCCTAGCGTTATTGTGTAATGGAAAATCAGGAAAAATGGCCGTTTACCTTCCTGATGAACTACACAAATGTTTGCAAACGCTGTGAACAGTTTCCTGTCTGTCACACAGCAGGACCCAAATATTTGTTCTTTCTGGCCATCTTGAAATTCAGTAAAGCAGTTTCACTAGGAGGAGGCTGGCACGCACGCCATCTGGTGGCCGTATGTGTAATTAGCACCGTCTGACCACAACGTCATTTGCTCTTGAGTCTGAGACCAGGCTTCATTCACTTCAGCTGCAAAATTGATTGCTTCTTGGGAGGTCATGTAGTGAGGCGAGCACAGCATGGCTGTAGAATCTGGGGGACCCAGTTTGACCATGACCTCTATAACTTATTAGGGTGAAGCCATGAAGAAGTTTTCAACCTCACAGAGGTCTGTGAAGATAAAGCAAATCCTCCCGGAGAAGCAGAAAGCATTGTGAGATCTGTTTCTGGTGTGTTGGAGCAGCTTGTATCAGCTTACAAGGGCTAATTGTTACATTTTAAGGAATTTTGCAATGCAGTCGTTAAATACAGCTATTATTAAAAACAATTATATAAACATACACTTGGGTTATATAAAAAACAAAGGTAACACATGCTCAAAACTCATGCCTTCCTAGTGCCACTACATTTTACTAACATCATTGCTGCTGAAGTTATTTACCTCTATTGTGTCTATGGTGGAAATACTATGAAATGGTATCTCTTCCCAATGCCATGTTCAACCATGGTCATGTTGGTGGCTTGAAATCTGCCATGGTGGGAATATTTACACCACGGGAACTGGCAAATGCTACAAATTAGGGTTTGATGTATGGTTTTGCTGCTTGCCGAGACTTAAGAAAGTGATGCAGAAAATGTTAATTTAATTTAAAAAGCCAATTAAATTTAAAAGTGTGTTGTGTCTGTATATTGTGCTGTTCCATTGTGAAAAGAGGAAAGCTAAGGAGATGAGAGTTCCTGTTGCTTCACGTCCTCACCAGCATTGAAGGTTGTTAGGGTTCTGGATTTTGGGCATTCTGATAGGTGTGTAGTGGTACCTCATTGTTGTTTTCATTTGCATTTCTCTGGTGACATATGCTGTGGAACCTCTTTCATATGCTTATTTGCCATCT